AGATAAGGGGATTCCATGTCTCCTCTTTTGTTTAATACAGTGGCAGATATGTTGGCCGTTATTATTGGCAGGGCCAAGCAGCATGGCCATGTAGAGGGGTAAGTTCCTCATCTAGTCGATGGAGGGGTATCCATTCTACAATATGCTGATGACACTATCTTATTCATGGAACATTACATGGCTAAAGCACGTAATATGAAACTTATCTTATGTCTCTTCGAGAAATTGTCTGGCTTAAAAATTAATTTTCACAAGAGCGAATTGTTTTGCTTTGGGAAGGCCAAAGACAAGGAAAACACTTATAGACAATTGTTCGGATGTGAATTAGGTGCTTTACCATTCAGTTAGTTGGGAATACCGATCCACCACCGTAAGTTATCCAATAAAGAATGGAAGTGTATTGAAGAGCGAATTGAAAAAAAAAAACTTAGCTGCTGGAAGGGCAAGCTTATGTTATATGGAGGTTGGTTAGTCCTGATTAACTCGGTACTGACTAGTATGCCGATGTTCCTACTTTCGTTCTTCGAAATTCCGAAAGGGGTTCGAAAGCGACTTGATTTCTTTAGATCTCGTTTCTTCTGGCAGTCTGATGAGGCCAAGAGGAAATATCGTCTCGCGCGATGGGATATCCTTTGTCGACCTAAAGACCAAGGGGGTCTCGGTATTGAGAAATTAGAAATTAAGAATAAACGCCTTATGAGCAAATGGCTATACAGGCTAGAGATAGAGCCGGAGGGTTTGTGGTCACAAATTATGCGCAATAAGTATTTACAGTCGAAAAAACTAGCCCAAGTTATCATGAAACCGACTGACTCGCCATTCTGTAAGGGACTTATGAGAACAAAGGACTTGTTCTTCCGCAGGGTTAAATTCTTGGTTGGCAATGGGATGCCAACAAGATTTTGGCAGGATACATGGTTAGGAGAGATGCCCCTGGCCGTCCAATATCCCACCCTTTATAATATTGTGCAACGTAAGGAGGATTACGTAGGCACAGTCTTCCAAACAACTCACATTCAGTTCAGACGTGTGTTAGTTGGTGAGAGATGGACTGCCTGGATGCATTTGGTTCGGAGACTGATAGAGGTTCAACTCTCCGACCAGCCGGATTCGACACAATGGAAGCTAACTAAAAATGGGATTTTTACGGTGAAATCATTCTATATGGATTTGATTAATTCTGGCCCAATCTCAAGATCGTTGCATATTTGTAGGGTTAAGGTTCCTTCGCATATTAAAATTTTTATGTGGTTCGTCCACAAGAGAGTGATACTCACAAAGGACAACTTAATCAAAAGACGATGGGTAGGAAGTTCGCGGTGCTGTTTTTTGTGATCATGATGAAACAATACAACACTTATTTCTTGAATGCCCATGGGAGATGGTAGCACGGGCTATATTCAATCGGTTCGGATGGCGGTTGCATATCAGTATAGGAGTCTAGGGAGCTTATCCTTCATATTACCGTATCGGTTGCTTTTGTCAGCATGTAATTTTCTTTTTTTCCTTTGTTTTGCTCCGCTTGCGAGCTGTAAGACTATTTTGACTGTTTCGATACTTCATGGATTTTTAATAAGATGGTTGCATGCATCGTCATGATGCAGAGGCCGGGGGCATGCCTCCATTTCCAAAAAATTGCACCAGGGAACACATATGCATATACCGTGTAGAGAGGCCCACAACCACAAAAAGGTTACTCAACCATTCAAGCAGAAAACATACATACTGTATTTCTCAAAGCATTGGATGGAGGTGGTTGTGGTTGTGCCGTGGCCATAACAGTGCTTCTACGATTATGCAGGTCAGGTTAGTGGAGTGCTAATTAATCTCTGATATACCATTGTTTAGTGCTCATAATTGAAGCCTAGGGCAGCTAGCTAGCCCCCCTGCTAGCTTCGAGCAGAATAGCAGATCAAGATTTAAGAAATACCCACGGACAGAGACTGCCTAGCTAGATAGCTAGGTAGCTCCATCACTCCATGGCACTAACAGTGCGATTAACCATTAGACTGCCCAGCTAGCTAGGTAGCTCCATGCTGACATTAGCTACTTATTTGACAGTGTGAGTAACCATTAGGATTTGTCACATCTTTGCCTTGCAACAGGCTATCCAGGAATTCAAGAGTGTAGTATGGCAGCCTTTACAAATGCAGGAATTCAATTGATCTTTGGAATGTCAGTGGCAAAGATATGTAGTTTTGCTCATCCCAAATAAAAAGGCAACAACTGGTTCGGACTTGGGACAATGACAGAAAGTGGTTAAGCGACAGCACTAACACAAAAGCATGCACACACTCATGTGAACTCCAAATGAAATTCATAGAATGGAGCAAGTAGCATACTGCCATATAAAGTTTACATACAACTAACCATTTATATAGTATACTTGAAGATGACCTCAAGTACTAATTATAATCAGTACAGTACAAGTTTCACTGCATGGCAGGTATGTGTTTGTGATTCTGCTGATGTCAAACTGAAAGCAATACTACAGGGTCCGGCCAGAGCAAAGTGCAGCATATACTTGTAGAAGTAATCGGCTAGATAGCTACAGAGTATCTGTTCTGGAATCTGAAAATGTTCTCTTGGCTTCATGCTGGAGCCAACACAAATGCTACAGGTGTCACATGAGATTTTGGGCCTTTGCATTTCAGATAAACAGTCTCTGTCGAATCATTTTTCGCAGCTTGAAATTTTATTCGCGGTCGTATATGCACGGAAGGAAAATGATCAGCAAGGCATGTATGTGTGTGTGTGTGTGTGTGCAGAAAAACAGGGCAAAAGCAATCCTTGCCTGATCTTTGCCCGGCCAATTATTTTCTCCTTTTGTCACCTCATTGCCACTACATGATATGAATATGAGGTTCATTTGTCTACATGAGCTGTTGATTATTCACTTCAAACAGTGACCTAGTGCAAAGCAACATAGAGCAGTTTCAGTCTCGATAACCATGCCAATGCACTGACATGAAACAAGATTCACCAAACCAGCTAGTGCCTGCTGGTTAAGTTTTCTTCCAAGCTTCACCAAACTAGCTATCATGCAGCATTGCTGATGGTTCAGTTCATGATCTTTCCTCGCGACGAAGGGGTTCAGAAGCCACTTTCAGTAACCACTAGGGAATAGGGACACACACTCCCATCACTACTCATGTAAAAGAATGGGCGGCTGATGGCTATGACATTGACGGAAGTGGTCAAGCAACAAGAATCACACACAGGAAAAAGCATGTATAATCTTGCAATAGAATTGTCCACATGGATGCAGTAACTCTAATCATTTTATCTGGATGCATGCAGTAACTCTGCTGCATTATGCCATTATTAACAAGGTTTTCTTTCTAGGATAATCAGTTCATACAGCAAACAAGTATGTCTTCTAATCATTTTATCAGGTACTGATGCTCCTCTGCTCCTTTCATACTGAAAGCAATACCACAGCAAAGTGCAGCATATGCTTGTAAAAGTACTAGGCTGGAGGCTGGATAGATAGCTACAGAGTATCTGTACAAATGTTCTCTTGGCATGATGCCAGGACCAACATATATGCTCCATGTGTCATTTCAGATTTGCAAACTTTACAGCTCGATAAAAACAGTCTCTTGTCCTCTGCAGTGCAAATCATTTTCCAGGAGTGGATATTTATTTGTCGTTGCATATGGGGTGGTGAGTGAGGGAGAACCATAAACAGCAGGGCAAAACCAATCAATCCTTTCCTAACCACTAGGTCTTGTCCATATGCAAGCAGAGTGGCCTTTTCATCCATCATTTACACTGTGAATCTAACACCAGTTGCCCATGCTGATTATTTCACTACAAACAGGCGACCTAGTGGCACAAAGCTCCATCAAAAACAGAATCAAAGATGGCCATGGCATGCTTGGCAATAGCAGAGGTGACATGGACCAGTATAGTGGCAAGACCATTGACCTGTGGCTGGCATCTAGACAGCACACACATACAGAGGCACACCATGTGGCAGCAACAGTTCATAATCACAAGCACACACACCCACTGCCCCCCAGGATTATGAATTAACACCATAATTTGCACTGTTGTGATGTCATAAAAAAAGCACTGTTGTGATAATCTGTATAAGAGCTGTAGTATGGAAAGCAACCAAGAACAGATGCAGGTCCAGGCCACCACCAGAGGGGAATAGAACCACCCAAAAAACAAAGAGATAACCTAACAACCAAGCATGCACCAACCAAACCATCATTTCAGCACATTAAAAGGTCAGGATCATCTCCAGCCAGCCACACTGCTAGTCCCACAGCACCACCATCCATCCAGAACATCCAGAACCTTCACAGGCTGCAAATTCCAACAAGCATGGAAACAAACTTGTCAATTTGTGGATGCTGCCACTTGGCCATACTACATGTCACTGTACAAACACACACATGTAACTTTCACAACAAACATAGGCATGACACTTTCCGACTGAAGATTCTGACAGAAATTTCAGAAATTCACCAACAATTTTGACTCTAGCTAGTTCCTATCATTGTTGGATGGACGGAGGAAGAAGAAGAAGTAGAAGGGTCCAACTTAAGTGGTAAGCAATGGATCGTGTGTTGGATCCTAATGGCACCGAAAGGGAAAGAGGTGGACCGGGCTGCCAGAGCACGAGCCGACCATCCCTTTGCGTCAAAGTGGCAAGCGACAACTCACTCCGGCCAACAAGCAGTCCGGGCAATCAAGCAAGCAAGCAACCAACTTTTTTACTTTTGAATTTTCATCGGCTCGGCAGCAACTCACAAAATCGCCATTGAAACGGGGAAGCAGATCGAGATCGAGCTCTGGATTCGGTTAGTTACCTAAATGTGGCGGTTCTGACGAGCTCGCCTCGCCTCTGCTCCGGCGATCGGTACAGGGCACACCAGGAAGGGAAGAAGAAAGACTAATTTAAGGGGATATGATCTTTACACAGCCGAGAAATTTTTGATTTGGATTGGCTTGGGATTTTGGGGATGATGGTGGGTGGGTGGGTGGGATTATTGGTGCCGGCCGAAGGAGTTGTGGATCTTCTTGATGAAATCCTCTGACCGCTTGCTCAGCTCCGCCGCGCCGACGGAAGGCTCCCGGGCTCGCGGCCGCGGCGATGGGGTTGGCCGGGGAGGCGACGAGCGTGGGGCTGGAGGGGAGGTGGTGGATGCGGCCGGCGCCGTCGCCGGGCGCGTCTTCTGCATGATGGCGTTCCACGTCGCGTCCAGGTCGTCGTCGCCGCCGCCGCCGTCGTGGTTGTCGTCGGCGCCGTCGAAGTGTTCGTCCGTGGGCGCGGTAGCCCGGCGAGGGGGCAGGGAGACCCCACGCTCGAGGACCGCGTGTTCCCGTGCGGGCGCCAGTCCAGGCGAGACGCTCCTGCCCTCGTCGGCGGTGGCGATGTAGGCTGACACGGCGGCGGAGGAAGCGTCCTCATCGGACTCCGTGGTGACGCACGACTCGCCGCCGAATGAGACAGGGGAGACGACCTCCTCGACCACCGCCGAGTCGGCAGCCTCGTGCCAGCGCGACACGGGCGGGGGCACGCGGTACACCTCGGCCGGCGCGGCGGAGAAGACGGCGGGGGCGGGCGCGAAGTCCACCCTGCGCTTGACGGCGGCCAGCACGGCCGGCTCCGTCAGCAGCGGGGGCGCCGCGGCAGCGGGGTGGTGGAGCGGCGACGGCGCCCAGGGGTCCTTGTGCTGCTGCTGCGCGGCGTGGAAGTGCTTGCTGTCGGAGAGCTTCCAGATGACGAAGATGATGACGTGCACGGTGACGAAGAGGTAGAGCTTCCAGAGGAAGGCGTCGGCGCCGGACACGAGCTGCGGCACCATGCACGCGGCCGCGGCCAGCGCGGCCGACGCGAACGCCACCTTGGCCGCCAGCACCGTCGTCGCGCCCAGGCCCCCGCCGCCGCCCCCGGCGCGGAGCCGCGAGGAGTAGCTCCCCGACATGGCTGTCAAGCCGCTGGATCGAGCTGATGGAGCTTCCCGACGGCCGGCGGCGAGAGGAGTGGAGCGGCGAGGGAGGAGTAACGGAGGTGGTGGGCAGAGGCGGAGAGGGGGGGTTGGCGAAGTGGAGATGGCGTTGGAGCGGGGCTATTTATGGTGGGGAGGGCGGCGACCATATTTTTTTTTGGAAAAAATTAACTTAGCGAGCAAATTTGGAAGTTTCACCGGGAATGCGATCGCGATCAGGGGTAATTTGGAAGAAAATTACACCCGTAATTTGGAGGTTGACGTCGAGATAAGGTCGGGATCATCCGGAATTAATTGATTAATTTTGGAACAAGGGCAGAAATTAACACTTTGAACGGATGAGCTTCGGATTCAGATGTCTTGCCGCGTACACTCGGGAGAAAATGCGGTTACTGCCGAAGAAATTCGTGGTTGTGCGCTGACGGGCGATATGTTTCCATTTCTGCGGGATTACACAGCGTCGATTCCCTTCCCTGGAAACCCTACCACACCACCACCAAATAGATCAAATCAGATCAGCAAAATATCGTCGGCAATATGCAGTTGTGCACTGCCGTGTATGGCACGCGCCCATCCAGTTCCCATGCATGATTGGATCTTGGATTGGCATTTCAGAAGGTCCGGTACATTTCAAAAATCCTATGTTTTTCCAAATAAATATAGTCAAACCAAAGGCAAAATATAGTCAAACCAAAGGCAAAACACATGAATCTACAAATAGAATGTTATCTCTGAAACTAAAGATACCAGTCTTTTTTTCCGTGCGTAGTATTTCTAAGAAGAGGTCCAAGTGCAAAGTAAAATTCATATGTGTTATTGTTTCAAATGCGAATAAAGAAAAAAAATCCTATGTTTTTCCTCTACTCCATTCGTTTAAACCAAATGGATGATCATTTTCGCCAAAAGAAAACTTCCAACCAACATACTCTTTTTTTATATTTTTTTCCTATGTACCAAATAGACCACAAAAATCTAGAAAATAAGACGGGTATTTTCTAGAAAATATGGTTGAGCCCAAGACTTACCTAGGTAGATCTTCAAATTAGACGGGTATTTTCCGAGCCAGGTTTTCACAAGCCCGGCCCTATAAAAGCCAAGCCCAAGCCGAGCTCGCCCCCAAAACGTAAAAGTAACAAATTCCTATTTTAAAAATCTTATATCAATCATATTTGAAACATAGTACTACATCACCGTGCCTATAATTTCACTAAAACCTTTTTTTAGGTGTTCTCCACCTTTCCGGGCTTTCGGGCCCTTGGGGCGAAAATTGGAGTCCATGGGTTCGGACAGCTGAAGCCAGATCTACTTCGAATTTTCAAAAGTTCAATATCTTTTTTTACAAGGAAAAAGTATGCAATTCTTGGTGTGTTGTAAGAACAGGTCATCGAGAAACTTTTGGCATTTTTTAATGCCATCTATCTTTTTTACAAGAGTTGGTTAGTTAATACTACACGGCATAATTCGCCTAAAGAAGATAGTGGATGACTGTGCTAGCGAGGTTTGGGATGGGCAACAACTTGAGCTCTCATTCAGAAGGAACTTTGTGGATAACCTCATTGAACATTGGTTCCAATTACTTCATATTGCTAGTAGTGTAGTGTACTCTGATGAAGCAGATTCTTTTACTTGGTAGCTGGAAAATATGGGTCAGCACTCTACTAGCTCTTTGTATCATGTTATCAATTTAGAGGGATACGACTAACTATTTATCAGAGGTTTGGAGTGTAAGAGTCCCACATAGGATTCATATTATTGATTGGTTGTTTTCTCATACTAAGCCTATGAGTGGAGATAACTCAACAAAAGACACATGATTAAACATCTGGATTGTCTTCCTTCTTTGCGGGTCAATCTGGATTGTCTTCTTTGTAAAGAAGATGAGTCCATCCAGCACCTGAATGTTTGGTTGTGTAGTTACCAAGTGCATTTTGTCTTTCATTAATGAGCATTTTTGTGCTATGAAAATTGTTAATTCAGCTGTATCGTGGTGTTTGCGGAAATACATGAACTCTATGGTTTTTTACAACACCCAGTGGATGTGCATTACGCAGGTTTGAATGAACATTCTGAAAACTGTTGAGTTTCGGCCAGTTCTGTCCCCGGAACAGAGCAAAATGAGGATTGGAGAGCTTCTCGCCACTCTGGCAGATTTCGTTGGGCGCTAACTGAAGAGATCGCCATGGCCGCGGAATGTCGTATTGCCGTCGTGGCACTGTTTTCTTCCGTCTGCTCATCATTGATGTTGATGAACAAAGCAGAGCGGCCACCGAACGTCGGCAGTAGTACGTGCTAGCGTTTTCTTCTGTCTGTCTGTGTGCCAGTGCTACACCCGTCTCGTGCATGGCCTCGGAGACAAGCAAGTACGCCCATCTCATAATATCATGATCTCGAGAAGCATCACAACCTCTCATGCATGCATGCCAATAATCAGCTCAGTTCCCCGATCCGACTACACTGGCAGGTAGTGTGCGCCCGCCGCTCGCAGGTCAACTCCTACGCCGACGTAAACAATGCGTACCATATCTGCGACGATCTAGATCTGTCTGTCCGTCGATCTGAGCACGAGACCACGAGTCAGTCAGTAATTGTTTAGAGGATCAAAGCAGAGGAGAGCAGAGCAGTTGGAATCAAATGCACCATGCTGCTGCTGCATCGTATTCGTACCATGTGTAAGATTGCTTAACCACCGGCTCACTAGCTCACCACTAGTCTTCTGTCATTATTAGGTGAAATCAAACGTACAAATGGAGGGTGTAGCACACGAAACCCGGCTGCATCAATTCAGTAATGAGGGCGGCCATGCAAAATGGATGTGCAGGGGCAGGGGAGTCGGGACAGAGTGGACTTTCTGCTCCCTCCATCCTCTGCCCTTGTTCCAATTTCAGGGGAATTAACGGGCAAGCCAAGTGCAGCCCGGCCCTCGCTTGCCATGCAATGCACCCACACCGCGCAAACAAATGCCACTGGATGGATGCGCTTTTGTTGTTAATCCGCCACGCCCGTCGCGTTGGGCTTGGCCGCGCCCTCTCACGCCACAGCAAGCATATCCACGCATCCGCCCGTCCCTCGACGTTGCTAATGCCCTCCATCTTCTTCTCTGCTTTTATACGCAGTTTAAGTGCACCGGCGGAAAAAGAATGTGCGCCGCATGCATAACGAGCTCCGTACGACCGCGCAGACGGCCGGGGGGAGGCGGTGCCGTGCCATTTGATCTGTCGCGTTCGTCCTCTCGCCGGTGGATCGATCGCCTGGGACGCGTGCTGATCGATCGGGAGTACGTCCCCGTTAAATTTGGCCGGTCTGACGAACGGGGGCATCCTTCGTCCGGAACGCTCCTCCATCTCATGCCATCGGCGACCTTATCTGTCACCGAGCTTACGTACGTGCATGCCGCCGCGCTCTGCTGGCACGCGACCGCCATGGCCGGCGGATCGAGCGGTGGATATAGTAATCGCCCGTGCGGATCAGGATTCAGGAAGACGCATCACCGCCCTACGTCTCACCAAGAAACGCCATCGTCAGTTCGTTACGACGCGCGTTTTCATTTCTGCCGCGCTCTGACTTGTGGAGCATACATATCGGTCAGGCCGGCCGACGTACGTACCGTGCGAGGTGCACCGATTGCTAACTGACATCTTGATCCGGTGGTACGTAACGTAAGGCGGCGAGCCTGCTTTGCGTTCGCCTTTGGGCACCCTCTATCAGCTAGTTTGGCCTCTGGTCACCGTCCGATGGGACCCATCGATCCGACTCTGTCTCACACAAGGGCACACGTACGTCTATCTTGGACCAGCCGACCGACCCTGCACGTCAAACTCGTTCCACAAATTAAAGTTTTAACCACTAAGAGCCTGTTCGGACTCTCTCCCCGGAGCTGAGTAGCTAGGAGTTATTTACCCAAAACCACCACATTTTAGGCTAGGATAACAACTTGGTATCACATTTGGGGCAGGGCACAAGAAACCATCATTTTTGTGCCTAACGAGTAACACAGAGCACTGACATTCGGATAACCTCGCGAAAACAGCAAAACTGACTGGTTGAGCCCACCTGTAAGGCTGACGTGGCATGCCTATGTGAAAATTTTGCTGACTTGGGCGAGGATCCCACATGTCAAATTCTCAGAGTCGCTGAAAGGCCACTCCGCGCGCTCCGCTCGGTGCTGAAGGAGTGGAGGGTTGCCGAACAGGGCCTAAATCAGCGCACTCTACACAATACTGGCAGACTTCTCTCGCGACGGTACATGTACAGTCCGTCCATACCCGACGAGGAAGGCGCGTAGTGGCCAACACACGCACGCTCCCTGTGCTTTTCGACCGTCCTGTGCGTTATAAACCTGGCACATGCATGCGGTTCTTATTACCTGAGCGAAACTGTAGAGTGAAACACGATATACTCCGCTCATGAAGCGCCCACGACGCCCCGACGGCGACGCCGGCATATCATATTCACCTGGACGCCGCCGTCGTCGCTGACCGGTACGTACCTCTCTTTCCCTCCCTCTCCAGTCCTGTCGAGCGTCGACACATGCAAATACCAGCGGCGCCGGCCGGCGGTCACTGTCCTGGAACATGGCCAAAGTCCACACAGCGGTCCAAGTCGCCTGCATGAGATCAGGTGCATATCCGCCAAGATGTAGATGGGTCCAAAGAAAATCTACTAGCGGTCAAGCTCAATTGAGAAATAAGTCGATGGAAAGCGGCACATGCAGAAGAGTCTGAAGTTTATTAACAAAGTTATCAAGAACAAGAGAACTGAACCGGTTTATGCGAGCAGAACTAGTAATCCAATTCGCTGTGGCATGTGCACGGTCCAAATCCTAACACCAAGTCAAATGGATGAACAAAAATGAAATTAGCAATCACACTTGGATGGACAATAACATCTAGATTAAAGCGCAATGGCGTATGTGCGGTTTTTACGGTTGTCGGTGTAGGAAGTAAATGCATCAGCCAATATTTATTTTATTTTATTAA